CGGGCTCCCTGCTCGGCGGGAAGCCTGCTTCTCCCTCTCCCACTCCCCCTGCTTGTGTTCCCTCTCTCGCTGTCTCTCTCTGTGTCAAATAAATAAATAAAATCTTTAAAAAAAAAAAAAAGAGTTTACTGAAAGAAACACTTCATCTTCATTCCAGTTATAATCTTGAGTTTTTGTAGAATGGCCTGATGTTTCTATCTGAACCTTCTAGCTCTGTCCCCTAAACACAGTCTAATTCAATTCCCTTCATGGGTATGACATAAAGAGTCAGAAAAAGCATTATTTGACACATTTTTTTTAATACATATAGTCTCATAAGACATTTTAATAGGTGAGAGAAGAGCAAAAGTATAAGGCAGCATACTTTCTTAGCCCTTTGGATCATTTACATAAATCCTTTCATAATATTCCAAGATAATAATGCATTATAATTATGTACAAGAATATAAATGCCGTCTGCAAGGTTTTTATTTCGGTGGGCAGGAAAGTATTGGAAATTATGTGTGTGTGTTTGTGTGTGTGTGTGTACACTAAATTAAAGCATCAGCACTAGGTGTCAGCAGATCACAACACTGGAGAGCACCTCAATTTGGGCATTGGTCAAATAGCAATAAATGGGGGCACCTGGGTGGCTCAGTCAGTTAAGCATCTGCCTTCGGCTCAGGTCGTGATCCCAGGGTCCTGGGATCAAGCCCCGTGTCAGGCCCCCTGCTCAGCGGGAAGCCTGCTTCTCCCTCTCCCTCTGCCCCTGTTCCTGTACTGTCTCTCTCGCTCACTCTTTCTTTCAAATAAAAAGATAAATAATCTTTTTTAAAAAATAGCAATAAATGGACGTATGTCTTTCACAATAACACCTCTTGCCAAGCATTTTCTCCTTCAAATATTAATTTTTAGCCTGACATTGCTAAGTGTGCTTCACAAATTCTATGGATATTAATAGGTATCATGTTGAAGGGAGGGTTCTATAGTCAAGTCAGTTTGATGAAACAATAAGTAAATGAAGTTGGTTTTCTTCTTTTTCCACTAAGTACTTCTCAGAGCCTTTCTATGCTGATGACACTCTGACTCCAGAGGACAAGCAGTGATGCTTCCAGAATGTCTGGGGAGAGAAGGGCTTAGTGGCAAGAGTCGGCTTGCAGCATAACATACTAGGATGTATTACATCTTTCATTTTGCACATTAGTTTATTTACTGTGTATATTTACCATGTATATTACCAGGTGATCTGGGGGTGCTGATAGAGATAACGGGGTTGTTAATACCCTAAGCCACCCTTGGCATTATTATTGATGTGTAGCATTTCCACACCCCCTTAGCCACAAAATCATTTTGAGTCTGTGTCAGAGGCATATATTTTAGGGAAAACCAACACAGAGAAATAGTGCCTCTCGTCATGGTCTCTGCTTTTATCAGTGTGCTTTAAAAGGGCTTAATGCTTGTCCATATTTTCTGGTAGTTCATGGAGGTTTTTTTCCATTTAATGTTTTCATCTAGCTGACATGTATTTTTGCACAGGATGTGAGGGAGAGATTCAACTTATTTATTTATTTTATATTGCAAAATACCAGTTGCCCCAAAGCCTTGCATTAAATATGTTTTTGGTTTTGGGGTACCTGGGTGGCTCATTCATTAAGCATCTGCCTTCGGCTCAGGTCATGATCTCAGGGTCCTGGGATCGAGCCCCGCATCAGGCTCCCTGCCCCGCAGGAAGTCTGCTTCTCCCTCTCCCACTCCCCCTGCTTATGTTCCCTCTCTCGCTGTCTCTCTCTCTGTCAAAAAATAAATAAAATCTTTAATAAATAAATAAATAAATAAATAAATAAATATGTTTTTGGTTTTGTTTTCAGGTCCAGAACCCTTCAGATCAACTTACCAATAAGTTCAATATGTAAAACAGACCAATATGGCTGAAATGGCAATGAACAAGAGTTCCTGCAACTTGCCAGCCATGCTTACCCCCATTCCCACCTCCCCCCCTTTGAAAACCACTGGAAAAACTCACCCCTCATAAATGGCTTGAAGTGCCCCATCTGTAACATGCTACATTAAAATGTTTACTTTTCCCAATTATTTTTCTATTTTTCTGCCAGTCTCATACTTTAATTTATGGAGCCTCAGACCTTTCTAATGCAACAAAAGAAGAAATTGAAACATCTGATAAAATGAGATTTGGGGGATCCATAAAATTAGCATATTTCTTTAAAATGTCTACTGTTGGCAAGAGTTGACCAAATCCCTTCAATATATAGAAGATTAACTTGGTAAAACTATATACTGGTTGATAATTTGACAATGTGTGTCACAAGTTTACAATGTTGATATTTTTTGATTTACCAAATCACTTGTAAGACTTAACCCTAAAGAAATAACCAGAAATGTATGGGAAAATTTTGCTATTGTTTATATTATTGATAGTATTGAAAATGTTCCAGGCGCCTGGGTGGCTCAATCGTTAAGCGTCTGCCTTCGGCTCAGGTCATGGTCCCGGGGTCCTGGGGCTCCAGCCCCGCATCGGGCTCCCTGCTCAGCAGGAAGCCTGCTTCTCCCTCTCCCACTCCCCCTGCTTGTGTTCCCTCTCTTGCTGTGTCTCTCTCTGTCAAATAAATAAATAAAAATCTTAAAAAAAAAAATGTTCCAAATTTTAACAATGCAGGACTGGTTAAATGGATCCTGGCACAGCCATGAGATGGGATACTCTAGCCGTTACAGTGATGTTATAAAAAAGAAAAATACCTTATTGAGTGCTTGTGATGACTCTGGCACTGTACCAGTCACCTTAATTGTATTGTCTTAAGCCTAACAATATCCCTAGATGATAGGTATCATTATTCCCATGCACAGAAAAGAAAACACAGAACTTCAAACAGCTAGTGAAGTAGTGTTGCTGGAATTCAACCCACATCTGCTCTTTACCCTTGTTCTTAATCACTGTCCTAATGATACGGAGAAATATTCACTATTTACTGACAAGCTATTGTTTTATAACCCAATTTTTTTTTTAAGATTTTATTTATTTATTTGACAAGGAGATAGACAGAGCCAGAGAGCACAAGCGGAGGGAATGGCAGCGGGAGAGGGAGAAGCAGGCTCTGCACTGAGCAGGGAGCCTGATGTGGGGCTCGATCCCAGGTCCCTGGGATCATGACCTGAGCCGAAGGCAGATGCTTAACCATCTGAGCCACCCAGGCACCCCCCAATTTTTTTTTTTAAGTAGGCTCCACATCTAATGTAGGGCTTGAACTCATGAACCTGAGATCAAGAGTCGCATGCTCTACCAACTGAGCTAGCCAGGCACTCCAAATAAGACTAGCCCCATTTTTTAAGTAATCTCTACACGACATGGGGCTACAACCCCAAGATCAAGAGCCTCCCACTCTACCGACTGAGCCAGGCAGGTGCCCCCCTCATGATAAGCTATTGTTTTAATGTAGTTTAACTGACATTAAAATAAACAACAAGCAAAAAACTTCCTCCCATGTGAAATCTCTTCCTTTCCAAAGTTAGTTATGCTTGGTCATTTTTTCGCCCAAAACAAATCTACCTTGACACATGTTTTTTAAGTTGATTTTGGAAGTTTTAAATGCCTGCTTTAAGAATTCAAACAGTGCTGAAGATTATAAAGTAGCTGCAATTTTAAGCATAAATGATATATATGATTGGATACACTTGTAGGCTCTTTTTTATGTTCCCTCAATTCTATCTCTTCTTGCTCTGGTATCAGCTTTAGGCAAAATGAGGGGAAGGATCTGTGAAGGTCTAGATGGCTAACTTCGACCCAGGAGAGTCCCTTACGTGTGTAGCGTGGTGGTTAGAAGTGCTGTTTCTGGAGCTCAGCTGGTTAGACTGAGTCCCAGCTTTTGAATTTGAGCAGCTTGTCTTCTTGGTGCATCAGTGTCTTCATTAAACGAAGGTGGTCATTATACCTATCTCATAAGATTGTGGTGAGGATTAAACTAATTGTTGCATGTAAAGTGCTTAGAACAGTGCCTGAGACATAGTAAATGCTCAACTATTAGCTACAGTTATTGTCGGTATGATGATGATGATGATGCCCATGTGCAGAGATGAGGAAGACAAGAAAAATATGAATGCTCCCTATGTACCATATGCCTGCATGATCTCTCCATTTGATCCCTCTGAATTAGATATTTTTATTCCCTGAAATTCAGGGTAGTTATATATGGACAGAATAGAATAAATTATTAGACCCATTTCTAGGACTAAGGACAAGATAAATACCGAAAGCTGCCTGACCAGGAGATAGCAAAATGCTGAGGAATGAGATGAGAAACAGGCCTGCAAAGCCATACCACCCTTTGGGCAGTGTTCTAACATTCAGGACTAACATTCAGGACTGAATAGGTGCCTAACCCTATCTGGTATCAGAAAACTACTTTAGAAATCCAACTGTTTTTACACTGACTGTATTTTCCGTAAATATTTCTTGTTTTCTTCTCCCTTTGTATGTACTAAAATTATTTCTGAACTACCAGTCTGTCTCAGTTTGTATTTTGAGGGAACAAAAAGGAAAAAGGAATCTTTGGGCACCTTCTGGAGCTTTCAGGGAGAACATGTCAGGCACCAGGTGACCTGGGCTTCAAATACCAGAAGCCTAAGAGGGAAAAGAAATGCAGAGAAGAAAATCCTCGGGGTACCTGGGTGGCTGAGTTGGTTAAGCGTCTGCCTGCAGCTCAGGTCATGATCTCAGGGTCCTGGGATCGAGCCCCAAGTTGGGCTCCCTGCTCAGCATGGAGCCTGCTTCTCCCTCTCCTCCCTGCTTGTGTTCTTTCTCGCTATCTCTGTTGCTGTTTCTATCTCTCTCGCTGTTTCTATCTCTCTCTCAAGTAAATAACTAAAATCTTAGAAAAGAAAATCCTCTTCCCCAGAGGCTTCTGGAGTGTTCTCTGCTCTACCCTTAGAAGGTTTTGAATAATGTTGCCTAGAGAATGGCCTTTTATTTAGTCATCTATCCAGCATGACTCATCCCTAAGAGTGTTGAGTAAGTGAAATTTTACAGTATTTATGCTTCTGTGACTTTTATAAACATGGTGATGTGGAAAGAGCATGGACTTTGGAATTGAACAGGCCTAAGCTTTGTCACTTGGTACTTGTGTTATTTTGAGCTAGTTAATAACTCCTCTGGGCTTGGGGCGCCTGGGTGGCTCAGTTGGTTAAGCATTCGCCTTTGACTCAAGTCATGATCCTGGGGTCCTTGGATCCAGCCCCACATTGGGCTCCCTGCTCCATGGGGAGCCTGCTTCTCTCTCTCCCCCTGCCCCTCCCCCTGCTCGTGCTGGCTCTCTCTTGCTCTCAAATAAATAAATAAATAAATAAATAAATAAATAAAATCTTTAAAAAAACTTCTCTGGGCTTCCTCATGGATAAAATAGGAATAATGAAAATCTATTTCACAGAATTGGTATGGAAATGAAATGAGGCAGCAAAAATGAAAGTATAACCTCTGGCACACACAGGCACTCGTGCCTTTCCTTTCTCTGTCAGGTTATGGATTTGGAGTGAGCATTTGGCCACATCGTGTATTTATTTTTATACTTTTCTACTATATCCCATGCAGTGCTTTGTTTACAGTGAGCATCCTATAGTGACTTAACAACATTGCATACATGCACAGAAGTAGATAATGGGTAAACAACTCTAGGTGTGTCCTAATGTTGATTAATCCATTTATCCTGTCATAGAGAACAACTGCCAAATGTAGATAAATAAGATGTGCAGTCAGGGCTGAAGAATTGGGCAGCGGCTTCAGGGGAGAGTGGGGACCAAGCCCTCGGCCCCCTCTGCTTGCAGAGCCCCCTGAGAGCTTCTTGTTTCAGTTGACTCAAAGGCAGTCTTCTGTGGGTGAACCACAGCCTCGCCTCTTCCGACACCTGGGATTCCTCTTACAGACAACTTGCTATGCTTGATTTAAACTGTTTTCCTTTTTTCTCATTAAATACTGAAAAGGTAAGAAAGATACTGCGGTATTTATTTACCCATACACTGAGACTGCATAATTACTATAACTTCTTTGAAACTGTAACATCATTTCAGACTTACAGAAAAATTGAAAAAAAAATACAGAATTCCCACACACCTTTCAGATTTCCTAAATTTCAGTATTTTATACATTTGCTCATCCTTAGCTCTCTATATTACATACACAGTTTATTTTTTTGGACCATTTAAGAGAAATTTCCCTTCCTCCTCCTTCATTCCTTTCTTCTTTCATTCATTCATTCATTCCCTCCCTCCTTCTTTCCTTCCTTCCTTCGTCTCAAATAAAACATATGAGGTAGAGCTAATACTTCCTGCTTCACCCACCCTCTACTCTCCCTCCCCGCTTCTCCTTGCCTTTGTTAGGGAACCCGCTGGGTTACATGTTTTTGTCCTTTTACTACGTATGATTGGATCTACAGATACTGAATTTTCATTATTCGTTGAGACTTGCTTTGTGACACAGTACATGATCACTTTTATGACTATTCCATATAACCTGAGAAAGAATATGTACTCATTAAATGAGCCAATAGCAGGGCACCTGGGTGGCTCAGTCAGTTAAGCGTCTGCCTGCAGCTCAGATCAGGATCTCAGGGTTCTGGGATCAAGCCCCGCATCAGGCTCCCTGCTTAGCGGGGAGTCTGCTTCTCCCTCTGCCTCTCCTTGTGCTCTCTCTCACACCCACTCTCTCTAATAAATAAATAAAATGTTTAAAAAATAAATAAATGAGCCAATAGCTATAAACCACTTGCAACAGTGCCTGGCACATCATAAGCACTATGCAGTGTTAAATTTGTAAGACAGTGTAGTTATATATAAATCCACTGGCTCAAATTTGTTAACTGTCTTGCTCAAATTTTGTATACTTGAGCTCTCAACTTTTAAAGAAGTTTGCTAAGATCTCCCTGTGATCGTGGATCTGTACATTTTTGCATGTATTCTGCCAACTTCTGCTCCCTGGCTTAGGAGTGAGAGATTCTGGTCAGTTGTCTGCATCTCACCCCTAACCCCTCCTGTTAGTGTTTCATGGCACAGCAGAGAGCTAGGATGGAAGTCAGGGTGCTGACTCAACT